GGCGCTCAGCAAGCTCACTACCCTGGATTTCAGGAGAGCAGACTTCTGCCTCTTTAGGGATCTGCTTGGTAGAGTTTGATGGGATGAAGCTCTGGAGGGAAGAGGGGCCCAGGAAAGCTGGTTAATATTCAAGGATCACCTCCTCCAAGCTCAGGAGCAGTGCATCCCAACAAAGAGGAAGTCAGGCAGGAACACCAGGAGACCTGCATGGATGGACAAGGAGCTCCTGGACAAACTAGATGATCTTTGAGGTTCCTTCCAACCTGAACAATTCTATGATTCTGTGACTTTTGGGACATAACTTGCCTTTTCATCAAGGCAGAGAACTTCTAGGACTGTAACATAACATAAGGAACACCTCTTGTCCTCTTAACTGGGCAGTGCCTGCAGATAGTCTGTGGGCTCCTTTATGGAGCTAATCTATATGTTCCTGAAATTATGTCTATAGCAAGGGCAAAGGAGAACATCAACAGTTGTGCTGCTTCCTGCACAGATGTGCAGTGTTTGGTTAGCAAGCAATGGACCGGGGTGGGGCTGGAGATGTAGCTCTCTTACACTAAAATGTCACCTTCCAGCTCTTTCTATGGCTGCCACCCATTTCTCTGGTGTTTCCCCATACCTCCATGACTGGTTTTGTGCCAATGCCTCAATGTTCTGCATATTCTTGCTTAGAAAAGTTCTCTCAGTCATGCCAGTGACACTACTCAGATGAATCAGAAGTATTCAAGAAGGTTTGCATGCCTGCACCTTAATGATTTATCTCTATCTTCCTTTTCTTCCCAGATCTGCTGTGAGATTACACCAAGGCTTGTGGTTTCTGATGTCTCAGAGCTGAGAAGAAGTATCCCAGATAGCTGAAACCAAGCAGACTTGTTCATGAGCACAGTAAGTTACTTGCTTTCCTGATTCCTCCAGGAAGAATTCTATGAGAAATTTCACAGGAACTGTAGTTGGGAAACAGGTCTCTGATTTCCCCATGTATCCTGCTCAGCACTTACCCCAGATTAGCTTTCCTTCTCACAGTCCGTCAGCAGCCCTCGGATCAAGGAGATTAAAACATCCTGGTAACTCATTAATGAGCCAGTACTCTGCAACAGCTGGACCAAAACAGGCCCATGTTTGGCTGTGTCTTAATTCTTTGCCATCTCCCCTCTGCTCTTCAACACCTGCACACATTTGGGACCCAGTGTAAGACCCCTGAATTCAGCTCTAAGCAACCAGTCTGCAATGCACATGTCTAATGCTCTGCTGGTGTGGAACCAGTATGCTGGTAATCCTGTTAGTAATGGCAGAAGCTCCCTCTAGGAAATTATAACAAATAGTCTTAAACAATTCCTTTTGTTGACAACTTCATCCAAGAAACCATCTTCCCTGGAGACTTCACTCAACTTTTGACTAATCGCCTCCTTCCCTCAGGAGCTCTTTTGTTGAAGGAGATTGTAGGCAAACCCCAGGAATGACAGGTCTCTGTAAGCCTTGGATCAGCCTCTACATTCTTTCAATTGTCAGTCTCCATCTGTCCTGTTTGTACATAGATCTTCTGGTCCAGGGATCTCTCTATTAAGTGACACATGGCTGAGTTTATTCTGCAAGTCCAGTGTCCAGACTGTGCTGTTACATCTTAGTTGCCAAGTCAATCTTTCTGACATTGCCTTCCAAAAAAAACAAAAGGCAGGACATCTGCACAATTTCGTTCTCTTCTACTGAAAGGTGATTTTAAAAAATATGTCCCCTGACTAAACTCAGCCCTTGTTTTATGCTCTTGAAAATTTTGCTTCATTTTGTCAATATCAAGAGTTATTTCAAAGGTCCTTGGTGTAATGGAGGGTAGAATCTGCCCCTATTGCAAAAGAATTCTGTTAGGATAGAAATCCATGGCCTAAATCCTGAATCAAAAGGAAGAATAAATCCTAATTCCAAATATTCTGCAGGGCTAGTAACTTCAGTTACTCTGCCTGTTAACAGGCAGTTAACTCTGCTGGTTTAAAACAAGCTCTAATCTTCCTGTAGATTCAACTGCACTTAGCTAGTACAGTAGCACATACATGTAAGAGGCACTGCCTTATTTATCTGTATTTTTGATAGACGGACCACTTGGTGGATAAGGAGTTGGCTGGATGGTCACACTCAAAGAGTTGTGGTCAATGGCTTAGATCTCCAAGTGGAGACCAGTGATGAGTGGCGTACCTCAGGGGTTGGTACTGGGACTAGCACTGTTTAACATCTTCGTTGGCAACAGGGACAGTAGGATTGAGTGCACCCTCACCACGTTTGCTGATGACACCAACCTGTGTGGTGTGGTTGACATGCTGGGGGGAAGGGATGCCATCTAGAGGGACCTTGACAGGCGGGCCTGTGAGAACCTCATGAAGTTCGACAAAGCCAGGTGAAAGGTCTTGCACACAGCCTAAAAAGCCAACAGTATCCTGGGCTGTTGCTCACCAGCCTGGGCTGCGGCACCAAGGACGCTGTTGCATCCTCCGCAGCCAGGAGGAAATGGCCTGCCTCTTGTGGGCAGGGTCGGTACCTTGAGTTGAATACTTAATTAGTTAGTTCATTATCTCAACTCAATCCAGCTGGGCTAATAATGACTGGTGCCATACTGGGCTGCATCCAAAGCAGTGTGGCCAGCAGGTTGAGGGAGGAGATTCTGCCCCTCTACCCTGTTCTTGTGAGACCCCATCTGCAGTACTGTGTTCAGCTCTGAGGTCCCCAACAGAAGAAGGACATGGAGCTGTTGGAGCAGGTCCAGAGGGGGGCCATGAAGATCATCCGAGGGCTGGAGCACCTCTGCTATGAAGACAGGCTGAGAGAGTTGGGGTTGTTCAGCCTGGAGAAGAGAAGGCTCCGGGGTGACCTTCTAGCAGCCTTCTAGTTCCTAAAGGGGGCCTACAAGAAAGCTGGAGAGGGACTGTTTACAAGGGCATGTAGTGATAGGACAAGGGGAATGGATTTAAACTGAAAGAGGGGAGATTTAGATTAGATATAAGGAAGGAATTCTTCATTCTGAGGGTGGAGAAGCACTGGAACAGGGTGCCCAGAGAAGTTGTGGATGCCCCATCCCTGGAAATGTTCAAGGTCAGGTTGGATGAGGCTTTGAGCAACCTGATCTAGTGAAAAGTGTCCCTGCCCATGGCAGGGGGATTGGAACTAAGTGATCTTTAAGGTCCCTTCCAACCCAAACCATTCTATGATTCTATGGTTTTGAGAGGCAGCATAAGAACAGAAGCAGATTCCAATGATCCATACCCTCCTCCTCATCAGGAAGAGAGAAAGAGGTGGAATAGGGTAGAAAGTGGATGGAGCATTGACATGGAGTGTATATCACCTTGGGATAGATGCCTGGCACTCTCTTTTCCCTTTCTGAAACCGAAGAACACGGAGGAGACTCTGATGTTTTGTCCCTTGCTGTATCTCTCAGGGCCCATGGACTCATGATTGAGCCTGGTATGTTTAGGCTTTTGGTTTTGTCTATTTTTGTAACTTAACTCAGGTTGCCAACGAAGGAAACTGGCCAATTTCATTATGTTCCCAAGAAATTTCATTCTTTCATGTGCCAGGTGAGGCTGTTGTGCTTTAGATGATTATCTACCTCTGATTAGATTTGAAAAAGCATACAGAACCCACTGATTTCCATTGGTAGCCTACTAAAATGACAAAAAAAAATACTGTTTCATTTATAACCTTGCTTGCATGTCTGAATCTAGAGGCCTTTTTTAAAAAGAGAATTAATAAAATGAACACCTTCACTTATAGAATGTTTTCCTGTAATGAAGTGCAGAAGAAAACTTGAGCTGACATTTAAGCTTGTTTAGTATGTTTTGTAAGCAGCTTAAAAAAAGGGACACAATCACTTTGAGGCCGGATTAATTTTTTTTTTTTTTAAAAAGAAAATGTATAAGAGTATCTCTTACTATTTTCATGGTTTCAGTGTTTTAAATTATGTCTTTGTGAAATACTCTAAAAAATCAGTTTAAACTGGCCAAATCCAAGTTCATTGAACGCTGAAGCATGAGAGCCCTCCTCAAATGAATTGTCCCAGAAGCCTTAGTGGAATTGAGAGTCAGCCTTTTTAGCAGGATTAGTTCCTCTCTGATCACACAGAGGGAACACCCACCCTGTCTACACTTAGCTGAGCAGGGAATGCGTTCAGGCTGCCTTCAAAACCCAATCTGGGCACAGGGCTGGCAGTGTCAAGTCCTTCTTGAAAGGACTCAAGGTTGTTCTGCCTGCCTGCTGTTGTCTACATGATGAGGGCAGATGGTATAGAGAGAGGCTGTGAGACCAGGCACTGAGTACTGGCACCTGATCCTATACATATAGCCTGATCCTGACTGTACAGTCAGTTAACAAATGTACAAAGGTACAAAGTCAACAAAGAGACAGGATATAATAAAAGGATGTTTTCCAGTAACTTCTTTCAATACCAGTGATTTTAAGTGATCTTTTCGTCTTCTGTAACAAAAGGAAATGAAAAATGTTGATGCTGAAGCATCAGTTTGAGGAGTGTCATATTAAAATAGTGATTAATTAAAACCAAGGATGTTACGAGCTAAGGAGATTTTGCCTACCTCTGCTCAGGTTCCATTGCGTGTGAAAGCAAAACAAGTAAGATATAAAATGTGAACTCAGTAGACAAGGACAAAGGCGAACAAAGCAATTCGGTCAGTTTAAGTAATGGGGAAATGAAGAAATATTTTGACTGAGGAGGCATCAGAAGAAAGGGCACTGGTCTGAGACTTGGGAATATGAGGAAACAAACCCAAATTATACCCACTGAGCATTGTGTATTGGGAGCCATTGGCTTGCTGATATCTTCTCTCAGAATGTGAGATTTCCCACTTTATCCCCAGCCTGGGATGTGGTCATCCAGCCCTGGGCATCAGTTTTGTTTTCCCACCTTCAATACACAAAGGAATTGATGTGCTAAGGATGATGGCAGCAGCTTTGACAGTGGCAACTACGTGCTTACCCACAAATTAGTCAATCATCCCTGCTTTCTACCAAAACTTGCTTGAACTTCCTGAGACATGGCCTTTTCTGTAAGAAGCAAACAGGTCACAGATTTCAGGCTGCAGTCTCACTCCTGGAACTGTGAGCACTGATTGTCCTGTGGAAAAATCAGGTTAAAGAGAAAGCTGCAAAATAGTCCTTTTCCTTCACTGTGCTACTTCCCTAATGCTCTCCTGTCATACTAGCCACAATATAAACTCATTCAAGATCCTATTTCTCGCAGCTCCGTTCTTTCTGATTTTTTTGGAAAACGATTTCTTTAATCTAGGCACCCTTCTCTAGAAATCTCATCTACGGTTTCTATCTCTTTTTTCTTTTTCTTTTTCTTGGAGCAACCAGCAAAATACTATTTGGTAGAACAGTGGTAAGAATGCAACCCGCTAATCAAAAGGATTCAAATGGACGCACTGCCAAGCTCTTTCCTTCCCACCCAGCGAAGGGGGAAAAAAAGAAAAAGAAAAAAGAGATAGAGCGAAGGCACAGAGCTTCTCTCCTTCAGCAGTCTCACAAATGCAAAACCTTCCACTCCAGTGACTCCTCATTAACTTACCAAATCTGACAGTCTAATTATCGTAGCTGCTTCACGCTTAGAATAAATAAATACTAAAGTGGGTGTTTAAAGAAATTGAGTAGTGAAATTCAGTCATCTAGACAGTCAATAGAGAGAGAGTTTATTTTAAATTTTTATATTCTTACGTATTTATATCATTTTAGGAAAGATAATGAGATAGTTGTCTTTCAGGCTAATTGAATTCCTAGGCTCATCGTTGCTTGCTGTCACAATCTCAAACTTAGCTTTAACTTTTGTGCCTTAGAAATCTGATCACTACATCCCCATCTGCTCTTTTCTGCTGATAACTAGGTGAAGGCAAAAGTGCACCTGAGGATGGGAAACGACTACATGGGAGTTCCAGTCTGGATGTCTTTCACAGCAAACAAGACAACTAAATCTTCTCAGATTTGCATTTAAGAGTGTGGAAGGGTAAACAGGAGGTAAAGAAACCTCAGATATGACTTACAATTACACAAAATACAGAAAAATGTCTGCTAACCTCTGATGCAATGGCATCTGCCTCCATGAAGGGTATTAACAGCACTCCCCCCCAAAAGCAGTTCATCTCCCTGAACAATAAGACCTTTATAGAGATTCTCTGGCCTGAGATCAGTGGGAGTCAGAGCATTTGATCCATGTCTGTAGGACTTTGTTTCCACAAGTCATGTGGGCCAAACTTTATGCCAGTTGTGCTTTTGCAAAAGCATGAGCTGGGGAGTGAGCAAAGGAAAGCTTCCGTCTTTTCCTGTCTTCCCCTTCGCTCTGTGCTCCTAAACAGGGCCCACCACCTGCCAGCATGATGTCTGCTCCAGGCCAGCGTCTGGTGAAGAGCTTAAGCAGGGCAACATCTCCAGAGGCTTGTGCCCTTGGCACACATCTGCTGTGATGTTGCAATGGTTCTTTCCTGTGGTGGTGGCAGCTTAATGACGTAATACAAAACCTCAGTGTCCTGTCAGTATTTACACAAGCAGACCTTCCACCACTGTGGAGATCAGGCCAGATGAAGTGAGGGCTGTTTTTCCAGAGTTAGGTGAAGGTTTTCTTTATCACCTCACAGAAAAGACTGCTTCTGGTTCAGGAATGACAGCTGATTTGCTGCTCAACACTAGCTTTGGTTTATTCCCTTATTAAGACACATCATAAACTAGATTCATATACCTGGTGGGAATTTCACTTTCTAGGTGTCTGTATCTAATTTGAAGTGAAGAATATCCATTTGCTGTAAACAGAGGTGGCAAAGCACAGAGGTAAAAAAATGTAATTGACTATATAAGCCTTTCAGCTATGTAGGAGAACCTAGGGAAAGCAGCCAACTCAAACAAGATGTCCATGAAAGCCAGCTCTTCTTTATATGTGCCCTGTGATAACATCTACCAGTGCTGGCTAATGCCAACATGGGATTTTTGGTAGGCAATGGCTTGCAGCCTTAACCTCCTCATTGCCTATGCTTGCTTTGCATTAGTTTAGATGCAACAGGCATTAAAATGACAGTGCTCTGTCAACATCAAGCCTCTCTGCTCCTCCTTGTCTCTGAAAAGCTGAATAGCGGGCTGTTTTAGGAGAATGTCATCACCACCTGGCACACTGGTTCTGAATTGCTGGGGGAATGTAACAATCAGAGACCAACCGTACCCAGAAGGAGCAAGTCCCTCCTAGTGCAAGTCAGGATCACATCAATGCAACACACAATCCTCCTCATGGAGCACAAATTGGACTTGATGACTAACAGCTATGCCAATGTTTTGGCCAGGGTTGAATGTCTCTTGAATTGTCAGAAAGGTCTATACTAAGCCTGGACATCAGTTCGGTGGGGATAGGAACTGCAGTGCCAGCTCAGGCCTCCTTGGTCCATATACCTGGATTGTCTGGCCAGAACTCTTCTTGCAATATGTTTTCTTGGGAGCACACTGGTACTAATCCCAAATCTCACTGCTCACCCTCCCTGCTTGCGAGACTGCTCTAACGCATTTGAGGGCAAAAGAGAGGGAAAATAAACCAAATCTATAACTAAGAATAATAAGCTGCAATTGTTATTGTGTCTGACCTGTCTGACAGCAGAGTGAGACACCTTCTCAGAAGGCCCTTTGCACTTCAGGGCTGACACAGAGTTGAGAGCACAGCTGATGCTTTCTTGATTCAAGGATCTCATCTTTCTTCCAGGACTGATTAATTGTACAGAAAACATTCTGCTTTAGCAGGTGGCAAAGGGTTAGACTGAAGTTTTATCAGAGCTGCTATAGTTCAGGGCAGCACTGCACAAAGATAATTGTCTCAGGATTGGCTTAGGCTAGAAAAAGGACAGCATATGCTCCAGTTTTACGAAATGCCATAATTGCCACCCCTTAGGCTACTAGCCACAGTGGAAGGAAACTGAAGCCTCCCATGCTCCTCTCCTTCGTTGCCATATCCAGAGGTGCTGGTGGTGCGTATAGAATTAAGGCCACGAAGATGATGAGTGGGGTTTGAACCTGGGCCTTAGCAGACCCTTCTGGCGCTGGAGGCACAGGAGCGAGCAACTGTAGGGGACGCCCATCTCTGGACCAGCCCCACCTAGGGACAGAGAATGTTCCTCTTTCACAGCATGGGCTAATCTTTTTTCTAGGACTTTGCATTCAGACGAGCATAAGGAACAGCAACCTGTTCCCCTCTGCAGGAGCTAGCTGACGATCAGGAAGCAAAGAGCTCCTTGTTCCCTCTCTCCCCTTTCCCAGGGGCAGCAGCCAGCCTCCAGCCATTAGCATTCCCCTCAGTAATCAGAAACACGCTATTTGGAGAGGTACTTATCTTTGAAACACTAATTTCTCCAATTAATTTTTTTCCTGGGAATTGACCTTTGATAAACATCCTCTGGTTTCCAGCTTGTCATAGCAACTTACAAAAAGGATAGTTATGGCTACAATTATTTCATAAAAATATAAATTAATTTCTTACAGGAACCTTTCATTTTTTTAAATATTTTTTCCCACTTACTCTCTCATACACCTTGGGATGACCCCCCTCCTCCTTTCACTTTTCATCTCCAACTCATCCTTTGCCCTTCTGCTTTAACTTTCTCCTTCAGAGGATGGGGACTAATAACCAGCATCCTCCAGAACAAAGTGGGAACAGAATATATTTTAAATTTGCACTGTGTTATCATAGCAACCAGAATTTTAAAATGATACAATTCAATTCCAAAATAGTGTGATGCCAAAATGACACAAGAACAACTGTCTTACATGATTAGGGTGAGAGGGATGGCTACATGGGAAATTATTCAGAATTGCCTAATTTTTACAGGCTTAATGAATCACTCAGGAATATGGTCTTGCATGATCATACCATACTTGTTTCAGTCCTGTGCACTTTGATTTTCTTTCCAACACATTGGTTGCTATGATAACGCCATGCAGTTTTCTGTCCACAAGGTACTTCTCACCAAAATATGGGGAATAATAAATATGGGATGGTGCATAAACCCAAGTGAAATGAATCTATCCTCGCTCTGGCAGCATGTAGGAGAGATTGACACATTATGCCAAGCTGTAGAATCATTCCTTCTATTTCTCCTCACTCTCTCCCTTTCTCTCACTCTGTCTGTCTCTGTACCTGTTTTTTTCCAATCTCTCTCTCTCTCTCAGCACTGACACTTTCATCTTCTCCCTTGGGGATTCAAGATGTCACTGCAGGAAGTGCTTGTCCGCCTCTCCAGCAGCAGCAGAGCCCTGTGGCTTTGACAAACCTCATTTAATTGGGAGGAAGCCAGGAGGGTTTGAAAGAACTGAAACATCCACGAAACTCCTTTTATCAGGCATAATTTAAACTCTGCATGGAAAAAACCCTATATGTATAAAGAAAAGTCAACTTCCCTCCTGCTGTGCGTGCTCCCCTCCTCCCCCCCCAGCACAGGCAGGCTCCTGCGAGATTCCATCTTTTCATTTTTCTAAAAGTGTCAAAGTAGATTTGTGCTCTGTGGCTGGGTGAACAGAAAAGGAATGCAGATGTCTCTCACTCATGCACATACACACACACCTTCTGAAGGGCAGCGGTTTGGGAGAGACGCTAGACGGTTGCTCCTTCACTTGGGATGTGTGGCAGGAGCCAGAAATTAGGTTTTCAAATAGCTTGACAACACAAGAAGGCTTCTTCTTAATTGCCTCTATCTTAAAAACACCCACTAAACTAACTAATGTAGCAGATGTCCAGGAGGCAATGGGGAATGCAAGGGCACTCTGGCCTGTTGCCTGATAGGAGGGGGCTTTTCCTAGTGAGAAACAGAACCTGAAGCTTGAGAGACCCTGTATTTATTGTCAGCTCAGGGCAGGAGAGGCAGACCTGTGTGTATGCAGCTGTGTGCTTGAGAGAAGGGAGCAAGGGAAGGAGGAAATAAAGCAGGTAAAACTGAGGGAGAACGGGTGCGACAGGGTACGAGGAACAGCTGTTGTCTCTGAACATCAAAGGAGAGCAGGAGGAGCAGTCCAAGGGAATTGGGGCTAGCACATCATGCTGAGCAGCTGGGAATTCAGGACATCAGGAGGGACTGGCATGCAAGTTACACTGAATACACAGTGTGAGCCAGCCTGATGGAAAACTCCAGGCCCCTGGGGTTACAGAAAGGGGGAGAAACGACCTGTCAGTATTTGCTGTGCATCTACGCCTCTGCTTGGTAAATGTACCATGGTGGCAGCCAATCCAGATGCCCCTCTAGTATTAACGCTGTGGTCAAGTGGAAGAAAGCAGAAAAACAAGCTGCCAAATTCACAATGTGATGTAAACTTTGCAGCATACAGGAGTGGGGAGGGAGGGCAGGCAGAAAAGAGAGAGACGTCCGAGTGAGTGGCAGAAACTTTCAAAGTACAAAAGAAACTCATCATAAATGGCACGTGAAGTAGCTCTCTCTTGGTGAAATGAAACGGAGAGTTAACTTACCAGCAGGAACCTGGTAGAGTTGGGGAGGCAGAGGGCTGAAGAAGCCATGAAGCAGTGCACCTTGCGCAGAGATCTGGCCTCTAGGGAAGGATGTAAGCATCCTGGAGGCCAAATCCTCTGCCGCTGGAACCCTGCTCAGCCTAGGAAAACAGGAGAAAAAATAGCATAGGAGATGAGCACAAGCCAGAAAGCTGGAACCAGAACTTGACTCAGCCCTCCTCAGAGCTTGAGGCAGAGATAGAGGAGGGACACAGGGAAGCTGAGTAAACCCATCCCAGCTATATAGCTTTCCAGGACATTTTCTTTTCCATGTGAGTTTGATCATGCTGGAGTATATGCAGCCAGGATTTCAGCTCCAACTCAAGTTTTCAGAGGAATTTTGAGAATAAATTGTTACTTTGTAAAAAGAAGGTTGCAAGTAAAAGGGAAAATGCTGCTGGGCAGACTATATTTTACATGTCATAACTGGAATATTAGAGGTTGGTGTTACCAGTTTACAGTGACAATGCAAGTGCACAAAATAACCCGACCGGCCCACTGAGCACACCAGAGGTCAAAACTAAAAAACTAAAGAAAATATAATTTTCCCTTTTTCCTTCCTTAGTACCAGTAGTGCAGATGGTTGTAATATGTGTTGAGGATTCATGGCGATGAATCCGTCTCTCACAATGAGTGCTTAAAATAGATGTAATAAACACATGCTCCTTGCCTAGCAAACACCAATGCCAAGTGGCTACTTTCTAGAGGAGCACACGGCTGAGGACAAGGAAGTGAAAGAGAGAAAACAAACCAACAAGGAAACAAATAAAAATACTAATTTAGTTTTACAGCTTTTACTTTGTTTATTTGTTCTGATCGTGTTTCAGCATCAGGAGGCCCATCAGAGCATGGCCTGTTGTGCTTCCTTCCTCAGCCCGCGCCAGTGCTTCCAAGTGACATCAGATGCCGGGATCCCCCTGCCCCTGCACTCCCCCTCCCTACACAGGACATTTGACATGCTGACATTTTTGTTTTGAGGAGATAAAATGTTAAAGAAAGAAGGGAAAAAACACAGAGAGAGAGAGAAAGAGATCCTGAGAAACAGATTTATAAGTTATCTGGCCTCACTGTGGTAGGTAACTGCTGAATGCTTGCCTCCAGCAAAATGGTTCGAGCCCCTGCTGCCTTGGGGAGCAGGGATGGGACAGGGAGCTAAAGCATCCAGCCTGAGGCTGCTGGCTAGTCCTACACCACAGGCTGCCCCTGCCATGGCAGGGTCTTACTGGAGACCCCCTGCCCCCTCCATCTCTGCTGCTGCAAGCTCCTGCACTGGGCAGCAACATGGTTCAGTGCTTCCCACCACGGCTCAGGCTTCCTGGTGGTGGCTGAGCTCTGCACAGAGCTCCCCTTTGATTTCTTAATTGGCCATGGAGAGTCATGGCTGAGCGGTCTGTATGAAGCAGCTCTTTCCTTCTCAAGAGCCGAGCATGCCAAGACAGCTGTTGGGCCATACTGGCATAAGGACTTTGTAACGCAGAGCTGGAGCTGGCCTACCCGCAGCCCAGAGCTCTGCCGCAGAGGTGCTGGGCCAGCCCATCGGTAATGGGGCCTGTCAAGAGATTCTGGCCAAAAAGCGAAGTGCAGTCCAGCAGAGTTGCAAGGAATATAGTTATTTCTTTGTTCAGGCTGAGAGAGGATTTGTTCTGTTCCAGGACCTCTGTTAATTAGAGTCTGGGACATGCTGAGCTTTGTGTGTTTCTGAAGATGTGCATGAAAATGGCTGGCATTTCAGCAACCTGGGCTTTGCTGAAAACTTCAGCATGTTTGTTCAGCCATTCACAACAGCGTGTGGGAAACCCAGCTCTGAAGGGCCGCACGCTTCCCTCTGAGCAGGGCTGGCTCCCAGGTGATGAGCTGAACAGATAATAAACAGCAGCAATGTGGTTACATCCTCAAAGAATATTTGATTCTTGACCCGTGCATAAGCACAATCTTAAGGACAAATCCTATCTCTAGTCTTTCCCACATACCTATAAAGCCTCAAAATCAATATTGGGGGGGATTGGGTTTTAATGACTTTCTGAGCTAGGTTAGGGCACTTTGCTTGATTATAAGTTCTTTTCACTGATACGTATATACATTATGTATGTGTGTGTACATATATACACTTGAAAAATACTCCCTTCTCTTAGCACACTAGGGAGTGACTGGTGTGGTGTGCCTGGTCAAGCTGAGGTATGTAACCATGGCCCTAGTCTCATAGCTTTTTGCCACTGAAGAATGTGAATTTTCCCCTCCTAATTCATCACAAGATTATTTCATTGTCTTGTAAAAATGCTGTCCTAGCACATCTTCTTTACCACTGTTGAGCAACATTCCTATACTCTTGTTTCTAGAAATGAAAACTGGGACAGTGCAAAGTCTTGTCTTCAGTCTGGGCAAGAGGGCCTGGCAAAGTACAACCTTCTAAATTGACCTGTGCCTTGCAAAAAGCTGCACATAATGTCATTGCATCACTGCTTATCTGAGAATAATCACTACTCCTCCAAGAATAATAAACCCACTATGTGCATACCTGTACTGAGATCTCTCAAAATCAGTTGCTTAACTGACGTTAGATCTGCTTGTTACTACAGAGCCACCCTGCTCTTCCTGAGCTTGCCAAAAGAGCTCATTTCAAGTTAAATGGTTGCATAAAGAAACAAATCCACAGGCGATTTTGACATTGTCGTTATAGGTAGCTTACCTGTCACAGATGACTCAGAGTCTCTGAGGTCTTCTGGAGGCAACCGGTTCTGGAAAGTGTAATATGCAATCACAGGATTAAATGAAAATGGAGCCAAAAACCGTTCTTTGAGCCCTCACAAAAAACGCATGCTCAGAATTTCAAAGGGCCCTATAGAATCTGTCATTTTAGTATTTAGAAATATACATTATTCCTACAGGACTTGAGTACCAGCATTGATATTAAGAAGGCTGTTGCAGTTCCATAACCCTTTCCTTTTATACACCTGCGAATATAGGCCTTGGGCCTCCTTCTGTTACAGTGTGAGTCTTAGCTTTGACTTCAGTAAAAGCACATGGGCACATGGGCTCTTCTGCATGGATCTGGCAGAAAGACTGAGGACGGAGCGAAGGCACTTGGGTCCCACTCTCTTCTTGCCCACTGCTCTTGTTTTCAAGCCCTCACTAAGTTCGCTGTTTATCAAGTTAACCATTTTCATGCACGCTTTGTACTTACTGGTTTAAACATCTCTACCAGATCGGAATTTTGCAGAGTTTGCAGTTTTGGGAAGGCTGTGTTGTTGTTACCATTTGTCAAGGACACATTTCTAAACATTGTGGAAAATGTAGAGGAATACATTCCTCAAATGTTTTCTTAGGAAGCACAATTTTCTCAGGCTTAGATATGAATGAATGGCTAAAGCTTGGAAGATATCCCCTTACAGCTGATCAACAGAGACATTTTCTTGCATCAGAAAGGCTGTAATTTCTACCGAGCTACATTTTCCTGAGCACAATTTCTGACAGCAGAGATGAATGGTGCTCCAGCCATGGAAAGCAGAGTAGGAAGGGTGGTGTAGACCTCTCCCCCAGCTCAGCCCAGACAAGTGTTCCCCATGGCAGTGAGACCACCAGGAGGCAAGCGCCACTGGTCTGTTGCCAGTAAACTTGGAGCCCAGGTGGGGCTTATGCTGCGCCATTGGAGAGCATCTGCGCTCCCTTCCTGCCCGGGAGCACCAGCCATATAATTCAGGGACAGCAGCTGCCAGCTGTGGGCTAAGCGGGAGTCCACTCTGCCTTCGCCTGTGTGGCCACCTCCAGAGTGCCAGGCCCAGGGGCTCAGTCACTCCATGCCTGGCTTGATGCAGACAATTTGAACAAGTGCAAATGACTGAACTTGTAGTACTTAACCTTTCCAGCAGCAATCTTTCACTATTAAGCCAGGCAAGCAGGTTGTTAAACCTGTCTATCACAGGGTAAGTAACAGCTCACAGCTGAAGTGTTCTCCTACACCCAAATACTAAGGTGCTTGCTAAAGCAGTAAATGGCAGTACAACCTGGAATGGGACTCATGTCTGCTTAGGTACCAGAGCACTGCAATCATCATCAATATATAGAAGTTATATATTAGTATATTGAACAGCCCTTTCCCAAATCAGTCACCGAGATTAACTCTGGCAGAACATTCCTCTTGGATCACTAATAACATTTTCTCTGGATCCTCTTTCCTTCATTTTGCCCCCTCAACTGTGATAAAAGTGTAGAAACAAATTGTCCATACTGAGCAGAGATGTAAAGTTTCCAGGCAGAACAGAAGAAAAGCAACCTTTAAAATGGTTTGGAAAGGCATGAGATTTTATGTATGAGGTAGAAATTTTTACTTCCTCACAGAGCTGGCCAAAAACTTTCAGATGTAACTTCCTGCCAGAAAATTTTGATTTGCAAGATAGAAACGTTCCATGACAATACATCAATTTCCTTTAATACTTAACAAAAATGTCAAGATGACTTAAATATTGTACTTCAACTCTACTGGAATCTTTTAACATTAATATTCTTTAATGAGTTTAACACAAAAGTTAAAAAATACACATTCAGTTGATAACAGCAGGGCAAAATGTTTCAATGATATCTAACTGAAATGTCATTTTGTTTTTGTGGAGTGCGTTTTCAGGATTAACGTTCTAAAGAAGAAATAGGATTTTCTTTACATTGCAGATAGAAATATCAGCTTGCTTACTGGGAACTGGGAAGGATATCTGAATTATAGTCTTCACTATCCTGAGCAAGCCTCTTGACTTATATTTATCATTTATATAACATGGAGATTAATCACTCTCTACAAGGTGTAGTGTTAGAGCCAGTGAGTCAACTACTGCTGTCCCTGTCCAAACACATCTCTCAGTGACAATTCTGCTTGAGTGAGGACTGCCAAACTTGCCACTTTGAGTATACAGAGCTTTGATTATAAATGGAAGATACGGGTAAGAAAACAGTGTGTCTCTGCTTGAGGATTTAATGCAGTTAACTAATCCACTTTAAATCAGTTCAGATTAATCTCCTGGCTGACCCCATATAGACAAACTTTTAGAGAATGCTGAGGCCCCATTGTGTCAAGCAGGGTAAGAACAGAGCAGTAAATACTGTCCCTACTGAAAGATTAAGACCAATCTAAAACTGTAAAACAATGTAAACAGCTACTCCTTACAGGTAAGAGATAACAAATATTTGGATATAATTCCAGAAAGTGGATGAACTACTAATTTAATCATCTTATAATGATGATATAGACGTAAAATGATGGGATTGTGTAGGGCTGATTGGCTTTTTTAACAATGAGTAGATACGAAACCTAGTGCTTGGGTTTGTTATTTTCTAGCCATATGCAAGGCAGCGTGTGCTAATGAGGAAATACCTTCCTATATGAAAACCCAGGTGGAAGTGGCTAATGAACTGATAATGAAGCAAGCAAGCCAGAGGACGAAAGTTAAACTTTGTTAATTGATGAAGCGAGAGAAAGAGGATGCCAAGTGCCGCCGGATGAAGGTGCTGGGGTTGCAGGCTCACAGAGAAAATTTCTCTCATTAGTGAAATCTCTGTGGCTGCAGGACAGAAGCAGAGCTCTGCCTATGTGGCAGACTGGAAACTGCGGTCCGTGCCCAGTGCTAGACAGATAGGAAGTTTCCCTGCGGCACAGCCAGTATATACTGCACATTAGTTCCAGCGCTGCTCTTCCCTTTGGGATCAAAGCCACATGCAGTTTATTATGACAATAAAAATTTCATCGTTCTAGAATTCAGTTTCCAACCATCCCATTTGTTAAATGAAGCATCAGCATAAAAAGTGAGATTAAATAAAAAAAGAAAAAAAAAGAAAGAAAAAAGCACTCGGAGTGCAGACTGCATCTGAATTCTCAAAAAAATAATTTGAAGTTTGCGGTTCAGAGCCTGCTGCTTGTTGCCTCCATCTGCTGGTGGCATTTTGGAAACGCAACAAATACTAAAAATCTGTACTCGGGAGCAGAAGTTGACCCTGGAAAGCTTCTAAGTCTCATGCAGCGTAGCAAAGGCTGCAGATATGTGAAAAACTGGATTTTAAATTAAAAGTCACTTCTGCATCTGAAAAAGCCCAGTATAAAACCTACATCTGCTAATTGAGATGATACTGCCTGCCATAGGACGCTTCATTAGTCAGCCTGTGCGATAAACCAAGGAGTAAAGCTCGCTCATCGCGAGCTCGTCATGTCATAAACAAGTAAGCACTGTTCCCCACTCTTTGGAATCCACATGTCAGAAGAAGGAAATGAAAACCAACTCGGTGCATTGGGCGCTCCAGTATTCTCAGCTTGGCAAAAGCACTAGCTTAATGTCACGGGCTTTCCTAATCCTTTCCTGCCCTTGACCCCTGCTGTCTAGATTCAAACTTGTAACCATTAATGGGGCTGGATCAAAACACTGGCCTTCTGGTGTCACCAGTGGTGTTTAGAGGGGATTTAAACTCCCGGCTTTTCAGTGCAGTGAAATGAACACAGCAGTAGATTAATGCAAGGATTTGAGCTCACACAGCATGAGAGCTTTCAAAAATAGTGTTAACAGAGCTACAACTGCCTCTTTCAGTGGAAGCAAAATGAGAGGAACAGAACAAATGAACAAACACAGGGCAAAGCCTTGTTGCTATGGGCAGGGCTCCTAAGCCTGAGGAGCCAGGGAGAGGGCCAGCAAGTGCGCTGAGACGAGATGTGGGGCAGGAGCTCTCCCAACCCTTCATGTTCTGCAGGAACTGGTTCTTAAGCCAGGAATGGGTTAAAACCGTGCTTTCAGGCCCCATGGCTGCATGTAATTCCCTACCCTAAGCATTTCTCCTGCAGAAAGGGAGGAAGATAACAAGCTGCAGGGTTGGCCGCGGAAGAGTTGCTCACCTATCCCTCCTGTTCACCTGGGGTCAGGCACAGGTTGAGATTTTGGCAAACTGTAGGCAATGGGCACGAGTCCCATTTCTGAACTTCGTGTCCATAAAGGCACAGGGGCATAGAGTGGACAAATACTCCTTTGCACATTTCATCTCTTGCCAGTTGCCCATAGAGGGGGCAGGTGAGCTGCTCTTCCTCCAGCTGCCCTGCATGTTCCTGGCTCACAGACCCCACAGCCCATGCTGTATCTCGTCTTCGGACTCTGCAGAAGGACATGTTCGAGCCCACAGTAGTGACAGGAAAACATCTAAAGATTTCCAGCTTTCATTTCAAAGATTCCTACTAACCCACCTGGCCCAGGAACCCTTCCAGTAACAACCTCAGTCTAGGGCTGAGCCTACACTGCTGAATCCAGTGGGAGTTTTGCCATCAACTTCAATGAGAATAGGATCACACCTCAGTGCTTTGTTTCGCCCGTGTTCGTTCCTTGCCTCGGGCAGGAACCTGTTTGTTTGCTGCCTGTGCTCACTGCCAACATCAATAGGACTAGCTGAAAGCATTCAAGCCATCAGATTTGGGGAAGCCTCCAAAGTTTGTTTGCTTATCCAAAGCATTCCAAGCACTAAGATTTGCACAACTGGGCGGGAAATAACCTCAAGAGAGAAGGTTTTTCTCAGGTAGACCCCACAGCTTCCACTCAGTCTGAGCATGTCCTAGGGCAGGAAACAGCACTTGTGCTTCAGGGAAGAGAGGGGAAGTGCACAGGAGCATGTGAATGGCAAACAGCTTTAGACAAAGAGACTGATCTGCCTTCTTACCAGCAGCCCTGTCAAAAACCAACTTGATTCCGTTCATGACTAGGGCAAATAGTCCAACCTTATATGACTGTCTTTATTCTATCCAGACTGGTTTGTATAATCCAGGTGTAAGCTAAGCGCTTGGTTCTAGTACATGGCTGGAGCAGCTCAGAGCCCCTTACGCGGACTCTGAGGAGGGGAAAGGGAAGCTGCCTCTCCAGCTGGCACAACTATTGACACTGGCTCAGCATCCCTTTCTCATGTGTCTGCTAGCATGGTGGGATGCTCTCGCAAGAAGATGTCGTCTAACTCCTGCATTTCTGTCTGCTCCAGCCACAAAGGCAACAGCATCACAGGACCATGATAGTGGGAGTCACCAAACAGAGCTGAGTGTGAGTCACCACTCAGGGCAGTTCTGGGCACTCACACATTCTTTGTTTTCTGTACTAGTTTCTTTGCTAGCATGGCCTTAATGCTTGCACGTTTAGATTGTCCCTCTATATAGCATTGGGATACCTAATCATCATCACTGAGAGTTTTTGGCCTTGTATGAGGAGATGACTGGCATGAAAAAAATTCTTTGTGATCAGTTTGTCTCACACACGAGCATCTCTTTCCTGCCAGACTACCCTTCCCAACGTGTAGACTACCCAGCCAAGCCTTCAACAACTTAGAGAAGAAAGTGCTTCCTCCAGCTGTCTGCTCCGTGCTTGCACCCTATCCAAATTAAACTTGCTGTGGACAGCGACACATTCCCATTTCACGCTGGTTTGATTAATGTGTCTCAGCTAATTGTGTGAAGGATTCCAGTCCTTTCGGCTGTGAGACCAGGTTATTGTTCAGCCAGTCGCAGCTACCATGTGAAAATGGAGGCTGTTTAGTGTTCATGCACAAGAATCAAAGGAGGGGCATCTTGGACTGGGTCACAGAGCAACACCCACTTCTTTGAAAAGATGTTACTATGCTCTACTAAACCTGTAAACCTCTTGCTCAAAGCACGTCTTCTCCCTTCTCCTCTCCCCCTTGCTCCTTTTTGCTCCTTCTGGATAGACAGGCTCCCCCCACCACTCTCTTAGGGTACAAATGAGATAGCGGCTAGATTGTAGATGGGTGGATTTCACATTCTAGGGTTTTTAATATTTTGCTTTTATATTTCTCTTAGAGAATGATCCTGCTGAGAGGCTGAGAATCAGTGATCATCATTTCCCCCTCACTGACACTTGAATATATTTTCCCAAGAGAAAACATTAAACAAAAGAGAGAGGAAGAGAAAGTGAGAGAGAGGGGGGAGAGGGAGAGTGACTGAGCTGGCTTTTCAAAGCATACTTCTCAACCTGCCCACATCAAAATAAGAGACAACTGGCCCTTTGAAGTCCAGGGCACAGTCTTCTCTACCAGCCCATGTGGAAATAAAAGAAGGCAGCTTTATAAATCACACAGATTTCTCACCTTGCCCACATCAAAATCAGGGACAGCGACCTTTAAAACTGTGGTTTAGAGGCCCCCAAACCAATCTTCATAAAAATAAGAAGAGTTCAGATAGACTGTGTCTCTAGGTATCTGTCAGCTTTTCCAGTCTAAACTAGGAGACATCAGTCCTTTGCACTGAGGGGTGAAGAATAACTAAATCATCAGCACTTGCAGCTACAAAATCTTCCATCAGCTTAACATATACCCAGAACTCAGTGAGGCAACTTTGCCACGCATGTATCCGAGGCCAAATCCTAGTGTTGTAGGTCCTACAACAACACTATCATTAAGTAGCTCAAAGGATTCAGTAACACTGAAGCACAGCATTTTTCATAATGAGAATTACTGATGCCAAAATTAAGTGGCTAAAGTCTCAGAGAAAAAGCTGGCATTCTTGTGAGTTAAATCCTACCTGGGTTATAGTTGGGGAGCTTGGAAAGTCCTGGCCAGGTGTCCTCAGTTGGGACTCCCAATACCTGGGCAAAAGAGGAAAGAGAGTGAGAACAGCAATAATCTCTCTCTGCCAGTACCCTGCCTTGGTGTGTCTCTGGAGGAATTGATCTCGATGGAGAGAGACTGTGGCCTTTAGTGTAAAACAGCAGAGATTCACATTGCCCTGGCTAGTGCTGGATCTACCACTGCGCATTAAGGACACTGACATCTTAGCCCTTGATTTTTATAGCAGAAAGGGTCCTGTTGAGATTGCATGTTGTTGCTGCTGGGAACATCAGTGAAGGCATGCGCAGCTTCAGTGCCAGGTGCCACTCCTGGATGTGTTTGCCAGCCCAGAGGTCACATTGTTCAGCCCCTTTCACTGTTGAAGGTGTCCTCCTGTGCCAGAGCTGCACGGGGGACTTATTCTGCCCACTTGCACTAACAGCAGCCAGTACACTCATGGCAGCACAGGCTGTGATCTGTGATAGCAACCTCTACTGTTCTGAGGTGAAAAAGAAAAGCTGGCAGACAAGTCTACTGACAGGTGCTAGAAAGTATTGCAGTGTCTCATCTGGAAGGGTCCAGAGCTTCAGCAGTGTGAATCCAGCCTTTATTGTGAATTGTGAGCTTCAGAAGTAGGTCCTCACTGAGCTGTCTAGGCCAGTAAAGCCTCCTCCAACCTCGTTTTAGTTGCTGAAATGTGTGAGATCAAGCATATCTGGATTTCTGTGCCCGTTGCAGTTGCAGATGTTTAGTGTTATCATTATTACCTACTGCATGCAAAGTGTCTTGCTACCTAAAATTACAGCTACCTGGACAAGACAGCCACAAGCAGGGACTGCATCTCAGGGCTGGCACAAAGCAGCATGGTGGTCTGTAGGAGGAAGCAAGGTAGGGTGGCTTGCTGTGGTCCATGTTTCCAAACTTCTAATGGACTCAGCCCATCACAGCAAAGACCAAGGGGTACGACCCTTGTCTCTGCTCACCTGTAAAATCAGTCTTGGAAGCTTGAAAGCCCCCCAAAAAGAAGGTGGCTTGCAGCATTCAGCCATGTGAGGATGTTGTGGAAGGTAGCTCACACTGAGGGTAATTTGACAGCTCTGGATGAGGATGCATTCTTGACTGGTGTGTGTATCATGTAAGTAGGACAGGTCTGCCCAAAGCAAACTTTGTGTGCACAGGAAAGAGGGAGTTGGAATCTGAACCTGAATCCAGAATTTGCTGTCTTTTGCTACCCTCTTAGCTTTCCAGGAAGCCACAGCAAAACCTCTAAGATATTCCGCATTGAAAATCCAGGTGTGTTTTCTGAAGTGCCATCCCTGCGTTCATCTGGGCCCTCATTCTTCAAGGTTTCTTGTGATCCATCGGGCATCAGTCCTAAAGGCATCAGAGGGAGCTGGGAAGTTCAGTACCTGGTAGTATACTCTCCAGGGTCAGCCCAGCGCTCTGCCTCTCTTTGATGAAGAATTTAAGAAAATAGTTATTTGTGCATGCTTGTACTTGGCTACACAAGGTTTTCAGCAAATGCTTAAATTTTGCTGAGTTGAGGTGTGAAAGCATTCAGAGCCCAAATCACTGAATGCCATATGAATATGGATTTATATTTATCTTTTTTGAGTTTTTCTTTACAAAAGATGCTATTCCAATCCATGAATTTGATCTATTTTTGCATTTCCAAGGTAATGGGGCAGGAGATCTTTTCTTTTCTTTTCTCTTTTCTTTTCTCTTTTTTCTTTTCTTTTCTTTTCTTTTCTTTTCTTTTCTTTTCTTTTCTTTTCTTTTCTTTTCTTTTCTTTTCTTTTCTTTTCTTTTCTTTTCTTTTCTTTTCTTTTCTTTTCTTTTCTTTTCTTTTCTTTTCTTTTCTTTTCTTTTCTTTTCTTTTCTTTTCTTTTCTTTTCTTTTCTTTTCTTTTCTTTTCTTTTCTTTTCTTTTCTTTTCTTTTCTTTTCTTTTCTTTTCTCTTTTCCTCTTCTCTTCTCTTCTCTTCTCTTCTCTTCTCTTCTCTTCTCTTCTCTTCTCTTCTCTTCTCTTCTCTTCTCTTCTCTTCTCTTCTCTTCTCTTTTTTCTTTTCCTTCCTCTCCTCTCCTCTCCTCTCCTCTCCTCTTTTTTTCCCCCCCTCTGGACCTTTAATGAGATTCCTTGCCAAATCAGACAAGAAGTCATATTTATTTAATTGAAATTAATTATACTCTGGGGATTGTTTTATCTGTTGTGTAACCACTCGAAATCCAGCTGTTAACTCTCTGGTCTATGCCACCAGACAAAGAAAACAGATTCTCTATACTTGCTACTCTGCTATGTTTCCCCAAACATCCACTTTTTACTGCAGTGAAAGGTCTTGGTGCAGTTCAGTTCAGTCCACTTTGGAAGAGGCACAGTTTCAGCCAGAAACATACTTGCAATGCCCATACTTCAGCAAGTGCTTTAAGTTGGTATAAATCATTGTCCTCTCTCTGCCCTCTGACTGCGTGTTTCTCCTGTGATGAACCAGCTGAAGGAATCAACCTAGCTGATTTTGCTTAGTTTTGTTGGGAAGTTATGTTTTATGCAGAGAAGCCTTGTAGTCATTCATTTGGTGCTTGTCACGTGTTTGCTATAGAAGCACACTGGTGGCATGGTGCAGCCTAATCCAGCCCACATGATGTTCTTCTCAGAACAATATTAATCAGTAAGAAAGAGTTTTTGAATGCAAAACCTACGCCTGATCTCCTGGAATTTGAATGATGGATCTTAAGTTTGTCAGGTTTGCTTGCTCTCCATGCCATGGGAGAACTGGAGACAGTGCAGTTCGTATTCACTCAGGCCATACTTCAATAACCAGCACTGCCAGCCTAAGTAGCTCCTTCCTCTTCATCCCCTTCCAATTTAGTCCTGCTCCTGCATCATTCCTTCATGACTACCACTGGTCAGTGCTACTGTTTGTGCAGGTGAACTGGGTAAATAAACTGTTGTTGTTTAGGGTAAGGCAGGGAGAAAACCAAGTTATAGGTTCCCCAGTTCATGTAG